CACGCTCAATATAGTCGGATCAAAGACCGCCTCGGAAAGGTCGTAGACAGCCAGCTTGTTGGGATCCACGTCCAGTAAATTGTCGTTGGTGTCAAAGAGTTTCACAATCGCTTCGATGGAGTTCGTGCGCTCCACCCGATCCATGCTGACCACACTGATGGAGCCGATGCACACCACGGAGATGGACAGGACACTGTTCTCGTTCAGCAGGCAGCGGTCGGTCAACTCGAGACGTGTATTTCCCTGACGAAGCGGCGTCACCAATAACATGCCGGCCTTTTCGTCGTGCACCACATTCACGATACCGGACTCGGAGAGCTCCATTTCGAAGAAGCCGCTTCCCTGGGCAATGGGGATGCGTTCTCTGTGATTGGGGGCCAGATAGACGCTGATGTGATTCTTCTTCAGCAGCTTACTGTTCACCGTGTGGAACCTGATCTCGTTCTCAATCAATGGCGTCGTAATACTACCCGTTTTTAGCTGCGAGAAGTCAGTAAGCTGTTAGTTAGGAACTCCAAGTGTTTATTTCCACTTACGTCCTTAACCTCAAAAGTAGGGCGTTCCGCGTAAATGTCCTGTTGGGCCAGCATTTTGTCATTGTAACGGACCACCGTGCCCTTGATGCGGAAGTTGGGCGACACTTCACTCAGCGTGAGGACAAGCACATCGGTGGAAGTGACATTGACGCCGTGGACGAGATCCACTTTGGACATCTGGTGGTAGGTAATGTTGTCCACATGGTATCGCTCGTCGCCTGCGGCAAACTCCCAGTCCAGCCACAACGAGCTGACGTTCATGAGCCTGCGATTCTTGGCGTCCTGCACCTCGATTTCGATCTCAAAGTTGTTCCCCTGACTCTTGAGATACAGCAGCTTAGAGCGGTGCTCCAGGGGACACGACTGGCGCAACACCTGTCTGGAGTATAGCTTCAGGAAGCGCGGCATCACGCAGTGCACCTTGGTTGTTACTTCAGACTTAAAGGCGACGAATTTGGACGTGGCAAGGCTGTTGTACACGCGGTATTGGAACACCGTCTCGCCCAGCTCGCGGCACAGGATACTGAACGCGGTAATGGGGTCCTCGGCATTCAACTCAATCTCAGACACCTTCACGACCTTTTCATTAAAGTTTGTGGCCTTGGTGAGCTCCGCCTCCAGTGTAAAGATGCGGCGCGGCCCATGCACATAGATTACGTTTCGCGACGCGCCAATGGGTAAAACCAGCTCATTCTCCAAGGGATTCAGGACGCTCAGCGCCTCGAACACATGCAAATCGACCTTGTCCTGGAGCACTTTGTCCTGATAGATGTACGAGACGCGCAGCGAGGTGCTGCCCACGGCAGTGGCCCGCAGTCTCACCACATGGCACGCATCAGTAGCCAACTTCTCAACTTCCCAGTTGTTCTCTAGCTGAAGGATGGGTTGGCTGAAGTCCAGCTGGAAGTGCAAGTTATCGCAGTTTGTGTACGGCATTTCGGAGTCGTTCGCGTGCGCGTACACAGCCACATGCAAGAGAACGTAGTCCTTAAGGGCTGTCTCGAAGTTGTACTGCTTGATCTCGAGCCGTTGCGGGGAGAGGAAGTAGATCTGAGCCAATTGGGCGACATTCTGGTTCTTGGCCAGGGCCACCTTGACGGTGGTGTGGGCAGTCAGCAGATTTCCATCATCATACTGCCCCTGCGAGTCAGTGGAGAGACTCACGTCCCGGATTTCGGTGGTGGCCAAACCATGGGCATCGACTTGCAGCACTTGCGGATTGCCGGATTGCCACATATAGCTGTAGTCCCCACCAGCCGCATAGAACTGTAGCTTAAGCGGCTTTATGGTGTTCGTGTCGTAGGGCAGAATCACCTTACTGGGTCTGAGCTGCAGCTTCTCAAAGATCTGCAGCTCTGCCTCCACCGCAAGCTGCAATGGATTTAATCTCAGAAGATAACTGGAATGATCAATGTCATTTACTTACCTTGTTGTATATGCCGGAGATTGTGCTAACGCCCTTCTGCAGAGCTTCACCGTACAGACAGCTGCCGTTTTTCGTTTTGTTGAGAATGCCGAAAAGAGATTTGTCCAGATTGGAGTGGATGCCAAACCGGTTACCCAGCGTCACCTTTTGGCCATCTGGAGCGTATAGGTCGAAGACCACTTCGTGCTTTTCGCCCTCCACCGTCACCCAGTTGTTGTATGGCAGGAGGCTGATGCCCAGCTTATGGGGCTCTGCCACGGTCAAAAGAGTGCTGGGCCCCTTGGTGTTTTTATCCGTCTCTGGCATGTTTCTATCACGCAGCAGGATCTGAGTGCGCCCTAGTGTCTCTCCGGTTGCGGTGCTACCTCTCAAACTGGCCACCTCGGTATCCTCCACCTCGAGGAAGTATTGCTTACTTTCCGTAATGTCGTGCAGCTTGTCCTTCTTCAGCTGAAGAATGCGGAAGCTAATCGAGTCTTTCTTCAGGATCGTCGCCTCGGAAGGCACGATAATAATATTGGCCAGCACACTGATGTATACTTCCAGGGGCTTCACATTGCTGTAATCGGCATAGGGCAAGGTGATGGTTATCTTCGAAGTGCCCGTATTGATTCCCTCCAGCAGAATCATGTAGCCCTTGATACCGACGGCTTCGAATTTCTCGAGAGCGGGGGGCACCGAATGGAGCGGGCTTCGCGAGAAGGTTAGGAATCGCATAGCGGGTGGCTTTTTGCTATCGGGATCCGAAATGTCCCAGTTGAACTCGATTCCCTCGAGGGTGGAGAACTCGTTGCCCTGAGAGTCGAAGGCGAGCAGCTCTAAGATCGCCGGCGACTCCTCCAGGTAAAGCTGGCGTGTGGCAGTCCTTACGTTCAGGCAGGCAATGATGTCCACTATCACGACGCAGCGCAGCACAGAACCGGTGTGCACTTCTTCCGCAAACACAATGGCCGTGTTACGACGTCGCTCGCGAGTCCGCACTGTGACCACCGCCTCGTAGGCGCATTCGCTGAAGCCATGATACACAGGCATCACGGATATATGGTCTTGGCGGGAAGTCGTCCTGCGAGATATTTTTAGTAGGTTAGTAAATATACGCTGTACTCGAAGAGTAAATAGGGTATATTTTACTTGTGCACAAAGTCGAAGTATGTAACGCACAGAAGGAAACGTTTCCGACCCCGTAAAGTGTATATATTCTTGATCAGCATCAATAGCCGAGTCGATTGATCCATGTCTGTCTGTTCGTGCGTCCGTCCGTCTGTTCGTTCTGATGAGCGCCTAGTACTCAGAGACCATAAAAGCTAGAGCCACCAAATGTTGGCTCCATACTGCTCACAATGAAACCAGTGTATTTCAAAAATTAGCCCCGCCCCCTTCCGCCCACGCAAAAGGTAGGCAAACCTCCCAAAGCTTAAATTTTGAAGCTAAAAGTTAACTAAACGCGATGGATGTGGCTCTAGGGGTGGAGGCGTGCGATAACAGCGTGCTGGCGTGAGAAGTTATGAAGATGTAGATGTGAGGTGTAGAAAAAATGTAAAATGTCAAATGTAAAATTCGAAAAAATAAAAGAATATGGTACAGGTACACTGACTGAGTGCCGGGTATAAAAGTTGTGACGCGTAAGATGCGTCTTACACGTCCCTTCTGGTTTGAGGTTAAAGTACCGGTCCGGTCGGTCAAGCCGGTCGGGCCGGGCAGCCAAGGCTAGAAAGCAATTGTAGGTTAAAAAGTCAACTCACCATTTGTAGCACATTTTTTGGTCCACCTGCAAGGTAAAGTTGATGGATTTTCCTTCGAATACAGGCAGGAGCACGCGTGCGTGGTTTAATTTGGCAGCGTCGATCAATTTATGTGCCGCGCAAATTAACAAAAGGAAATACACGACGCTGGCTGCCATTTCGAGTTGCTAGTCGCGTTATTTCACAACAACAATGTGGTAAAGCTGCTTGGCTGCCTTGCCCACTTGATGCGATGCCAACTAATTAGCGAAAATAACGGAGTTTTAAGAAAATAAAAGCGCTGTGCAATGCTAGGGATGTTATGTTGAAATATTTGTATTTATCGATATATTTTGTTTATTTTACGGGATTCTGGATCGAACTGCTTTTAAATTGTTATGCCGCCCTGGTCCATCGTTCCTTCGGAAGTCAGTGGTGTTTTCGAACCTAAATCCATTGGTCGGAAGGGGGCGGGTCTCATTTTTGAAATAATCTTGTAACAGTGTGAGCATACAGAAGTCTGGAGCCAAAATTTGGTGGCTCTAGCTCTTATAGTCTCTGAGAACTAGCCGACAAACAAAACGGACAGACAGACATGGATCAATCGACTCGGCTATTGATGCTGATCAAGAATATATATACCTTATGGGGTCTCTGCGTTACACACATCCACCGGGTGCCGGGTATAAAAACATCAAAAGGAATAATCGTTCCATCGCCGTTCAGCAAGTCAACGCACCAAAACATACATTACGTGCAGTGTCCGTGTCAATCAAGACAAAACCGGTGTGAAGCGTTAAAAAAAAACAAGCAATACATGTGCTTCATCACGAAGTAATTATATAAGGTTAAAGTTACCCCTTACAAGAAAGGGAGTTTAAGTTATTTTTTTAAATTTGATTTTTCAATAAGCTACTATTTGAAAGTAGTCGTTATTTTGGCTTTTCAGTAGGTTTTTCAGCTTAGGCTCTTCATTCTGAAAAAAATGTATATTGTATTGGCAAAAATCGAAAAGTTATTTTCAGCGCGCATATGCTTAATATGGGGGGGTAATAGGGTTAATAAAATCGAAAAAATTCGTCCGCACACAACCTTTTGCATGAACAAGCGAGCACGCACTGAGCAACTATAGGCCGAGCAAACCCGAACGCCGACCCGACGGCACCTCCTTATATAATTACTTCATGCTCCTAACTAGCTAGTAATATCAAATAGAACATCAATATCAAGGAAAATAATTAAGATTTACGGTATATTTACAGTATATTTTGAAAATGCAAGGGTATACTTTGGTATATTTACGAGGCCCTGACGGTATACTTTATCGATAATTTCGCGGTCACACTGCCGCCGTGATAATTCTTTAAGTAATTTGCAAAACAATTGGCTACTAAGGGCAACTACACTACAATACGCAATCATGGCCCTTCGCTTGACACAGAGACTGCTGCAGACGCAGACGCCGTTCCTGACACGCGTAGGTTTTCGTTGGCTGAAAATTGGCTAAAATTACATAATGCGATGGGCCTGGGAACAGGCAGCAGAACTGATGATCTCAATCGAATCACATTTTAGGGCTATCCCATGCTGGTGACCAAGGAAAAGAGCGAGGATGTAGCCCACACCAAGTCGTCGCTGCAGAAGAAAGTTACGGTAGATATTAGCCCCCTTGCACAATTGAGGTTATAGCATAGATATAACTGTGCATATATATGTTTGTGCAGCGTACAGATATCCCGTCGGCGCAGTACGGTGGTCGTCATGCTGTCACCATGCTACCTGGCGGTGGAATCGGCCCGGAGCTAATGACATATGTAAGAGAAATTTTTAGCTACTGCGGCGCTCCAATCGATTTCGAGGTGATTGAAATTGATCCCTCTACCGAGGGTAATGATGATCTGGACTATGCCATCACTTCGATCAAGCGCAACGGTGTGGCACTCAAGGGAAACATTGAGACCAAGTCGCAGGAGCTGTCCGAGGTTTCGCGCAACGTGGCCATCCGTAATGAGCTGGATCTCTATGTGAACGTTGTGCACTGCAAGTCGTATCCTGGTATTCCGGCGCGCCACCAGGACATTGACGTTGTTCTGATCCGTCAGAACACCGATGGTGAGTATGCCATGCTGGAGCACGAGTCGGTGCCCGGCATTGTTGAGAGCATGAAGGTGGTCACCGTCGAGAATGCAGAGCGTGTGGCCCGCTATGCCTTCGAGTATGCGCGTCAGAACAACCGCAAGAAGGTCACCACCATCCACAAGGCCAACATCATGAAGCTGTCCGATGGCCTCTTCCTGGAGTGTGCCAAGCGTGTGCACAAGGACTATCCCGAGCTGGAGCACGAGAACATGATCATCGACAACACCTGCATGCAAGCCGTCTCCAAGCCCCACCAGTTCGATGTGATGAACATGACCAACTTGTATGGCACCATTGTGTCCAATGTACTGTGCGGTTTGATGGGGGGAGCTGGCCTCATTTCCGGCCGCAACTACGGCGATCATGTAAGACCTAATCATTGCAGTCTGTTACGAAAATGTGCGTTGATATGTGATAATTTCGTTTTGCAGTACGCAGTCTTTGAGCCGGGCACCCGCAACACAGGCACTGCCATTGCTGGCAAGAATATTGCCAATCCCGTGGCCATGATTAATGCCAGCATTGATATGTTGAATCATCTAGGCCACAAGGAGCATGCCAATGTCATCTATGAGGCCACCTACCAGACCATTGTCAATGATGCCATCCGCACACCAGGTACGAACCCATATCCCAACCCAAAATTTTCTGCGAATTGTTAATATTTAACTGGAATATCTTTGCAGATCTGGGCGGTAACCACTCCAGTACCGATGTTGTTGAGAATATACTGAAAATCTTGAGCGCCAAGCGCGTGAATTGGTAAAATAAACATCTGGCGTTTCCTTATTTGCCTATTTACTATGTTTTATCGCGCTCTCAACGAAATGCTGTATTTAAGTGTTGAATCAGAAAACACCCATCTATCCGCTTGTCCTATTTGTATCGAGTACTTCAGCCCCCGCTATATCGCGAGCCTCTTATGTTGTATTATAATTTCAAGCTCTTTTATTGTATTATTTTTTTTATTTGTACTCCCAAACAGAACTGTAAGTGTTTTATGTAAAACTTTATTGTTTTAACCCACAACTACAACAACAACACAAGCACACACACAAAACTAAACTTATAGCTAACATTATTAATTTTGTAGTCTGTAGTTTATTTTCTGTTGACAAAAATGCTTTTGTTGAAATTTATTTATGTTTCAAGTTGTCCACTTAGTGGCTTAAAGAAACACCCAATATACCTACACACTTACACACAACACGCACACCACACCAAAAGTATGTAGTTTACGTCCACGCTCGGTATATCTTCTTGCAACCAAAACTTGTATGTGCTTACACAAATCTAACAAATAATTGTATTTTCTCTACTCCCTCCAACTCCTGAAAAATGCTTACCCGCTCGCAGGCCACATGGAAACTATTTCAACCAATTATAGGCACTATCGCACTACCGAAACTCAACCTAAACCCAACCCAAAACAAAAAAACTAAACAAAGCAAAGCAAAATTAAATTAACACTGAACTAAGCCAATTTAAGAGAACTGTTATAAGAGGCATCTTTTACCCCTAAGCCAATGCATATTCAGCGTCTAATGTGAAGCCCCACCCAACCAAACCCCGAAAGATTCAGTTGAATTTATGTTTGAGGTCAAATTGTCTCCGCTGTTTAACAAAATCCAAAACAACTATCTACCCCTAAATGCTCAATGTTCATTCGTGTATTCCCCCATTCGATGTCAAAAGTGTGATACATCAGGTAATACAAACTCTAAACGTATATTTCTATATTTATAGTAGTACGCATGGACAGCACACATAATAATGCATTTTAATATTCTACTCCACAGATTTTCTTTGCCGGAACCGTCACTGTCTCTGAACTATTCAAGCCACCTCTCTCCCCCTAATCCTCTCTCTTTTATTTAAATCTATCATTATCCTAAATAAAAAAGTTCGAGCCTTTGCTACACTACCCTCTTCAGAAATTGTTAGGTAGCCAAGAGTTCCAGGAGTAGTCAACAAGATATGTATATTGTAAATTCGATTTTCCAAACGAACCGATTGTGTAATATTACCTAGAGAAATTCAAGCAAAATGTATTATTCTGTTCGAATATTTATTAGTAAAATGTAAAAAGAAGACTTCTGTAATGGGCGTTTTTAATTGTTTGGGGTGATAAGGGGATTGGATCGTCTTTAAATACACCAAAGGGTACATACACTAATATAAGCTCAGTTATCTGCAGATTTTCCCTATGAAATGACAGAATCGTTGAAAAGTCCCTAAGGATCGAACTATAATCTACCCAATAAGATTTATATTACGACTCCCTGCTCGCTTTAAGCATCCCTGGTTCAGTTTTAGCAACTGAGCAGATCTTCGATTAAGACTTCGATGTTTGCAGCATCTGCTGTCTACTTCTCCAATCTTATAGGAGATCACTACAGATCTTCAAGTAGAGTCCAAAACTTAGTCCGATTGCACAAAGGAGCGATTCTGCATATCGTCTTCAGATTATTCAACTTTACTCAGCACACCTAGAAAAACATTAGAACCGCTTTTCACACTTGCACATAGCTGCCAAATAACACAATTTTTCCTACTTCGGTCATTTATATCAGAATCATGTTTTTTTATTTAACCTTAAAAAAACGACGACAATAATTCATCATCATCATCCCATTAGTTTCTAGCTTAGAAACGCAGCTTCTGGAAGAACCACTTGTTCTTTCCCTCCTTGTAGATGGACTCGAACTTGACGCGGGTCTGGAAACGGTGTGTCTTGCGCTTGACGGGATCCTTCAGGTCCTTGGGCGACAGTTTCTCGAAGCTGATGTCATGCGCCGTGTAGCGGGTGGGCATCAGATGGTTGTAGTTCAAGCTCCTCAGGAAAGGCTTTATCTTGGACTTCTTCTTCAACTTGTTCTTGCCCATCTTCTTGGTCACCTTGCGGGGGTACCTGTCGATACCGGCGACCAGAGCATGACCAAAGGGTTTCTCCGGGGTGCCATCGTCGGAGGTCTTGACGATGATGGCCTTGCGGCCAGCGTAACGCCCGCTAAGGACGATTACGATCTTGCCCTGCTTCATGATTTTCCTCATTTTGGCGGCTGTAGATGTCCAATCATTGTTTTTGGTTGTGGGTGGAGGGCGCGTATACATAAAATGGGAAGAACAAAATTAACATTGTTAGCAAAATGGTCATTAAATTACTAATCGCTATTAAAATAATACATTTTCACTGTTCAAATGTTAATTTCTTGCACAAACAAGTAGATTTCTTAAGCATCAAGTACGTCTGCTTTTTGTTTTGTTTGTCCTTTTAACAAGGGTTTATTTTGCTTTAATTGGGAAATATGCATGTCAATAGCTGTCTTATCGAGTACTCCGTACAGGTACTCAGTTCTTTTCATTATTATTGTTCAATGTTGGTTTGATATTTCAATGGATTTTTAAGATTTATTTTCACACAACTTACAGGTCTGTTCAGCGACCGGAAAAGAAAGAAAAGCCAGACGTCAATAGCACGACTTTGACAGTTGCGCAAAACCATCGACTGCACTATCGATAGTATCGATGGTTTTGGGCGATAGAGTTGAACAATCTTTTTTTCAGAATTATCTCACATGTTTGTGAATTAAATTATAAATGTTTCTACAAGTTATATATAGATATAATATTTGGAAAAATTTATAATAGTCTGAGGAATCTTGTCAATCGCATGAAGTATCTAAGCCAAAAGTATCGTTCATTTCAGTTTATTAATGTAATATTAAACCAGCGCTTAGATGTCCGCAGCGTGCCACCACTATCTGAAGTTTTACCACCAAAAATAGTTCGTTTTTGACCACCATGGTCCATCGGGATCAAAATCTATTAACGCAGATGGTTCCTCTTAATGTTAATATGTCAAAATTTGCACAATAGGGGTTTTAAGAGGCTTGCACAATTGTGAATCAATTGTATTAATTCCTGTGACGTACAGGCACTGTTTCAGCAGCAGCAACAATTCCAGAAATGGCAGCAGCAGAAATTCCTAACGTGGCTACAGTGGTGGCAACAAGAACATCTGCAATATAACAACCAAGCTAATCAACGCCTAGAAAGCTTGAACAAATTATAGTTGAAATGGGCGTTCGGGGTACTTTATTTTTCAACTCGAGCCAGCTGTCCCTGTGAGGGATAACTGTTACAAATGGAGTATCTAGGTACTCCCCTGGTACGCAGTAGTCCGTTTTCGTGGGGACAACATTATTATTGTTAAGGATGGACGAATGACCCATCTGCTGTGAATTCCATTGGCCCGAATCTCTTTAACGAATGGCTGCCATTTTAGCATGCTCCTTGCCAGCAAGGTTAAGGCTCTGGAGGCATAGAATGTCACTTCAAGCCTCATTTGGTGTCGTGCGGAGAGCCCTGCTGATGCATAGGACAGCAGTTCGCTGGCCTATGACCAGTTGATTTGTGGTGGTCCCCTTTGAGAGTGCCGGCCACCACACTGTGAGTCCGTAGAGTAATATGGGTCTAACTATTGCTAAATAGATCCATTGGACCATATTTGTGCTCATGCCCCATTTTAGACCGATAGCCTTCCTGCAAGTGTTAAAGGCAATTGTGGCCTTTTTCACTCTTTCTTTACTAATCAGGTTCCGATTAAGCTTTTTGACAATTATCAACCGTAAATAATTGGCCTTGTCGCTGAAGGAGAGACTGAATTAATTTAGTATTGGAGGTTTGAGAGGCGGAACTTTGACGAGGCTGTGAATAAGACGAGTTCCGATTTGGAGGGATTTAGGCCAAGTCCGCGCGATTTTATCCATTCTGACAGTCTGACAAACTCTCTCAGCGGAATGCATCGGCAACAAGAGCCGAAGGCCTTGGGTCCAATCCCCTACACACTGTTGACGCCTCTATGCGCTTGCTTAGTTTGCTTGGTGCCCTGGGTCTAAACAAGTGGCAGGCGATCCATGCTGATGGATCTCCTTTCTTTAGCAAATTCATCAGCTTAAACTAGTCGGCCCGCCTGATGTGTTCCTTGCTTCCATCTGAATTGACTTCATATCGTTTACCGTAAGAAAAGCAACCCTGCTCTCCATCGAAACTAGGGGTTAAACTAGTAAGTATAAATCTGTTCAATTTGGAAAGATAAAACTGTCAAATAGTATACTTGCAGTCAAGACATACATAACCTGAAATACGACCATTAACAACCTTAACGACCATGTACATATGTATATATATTTAATTACTTTTACTGGGTTACGCGGTACTCATGTATGTACAAAACACATTACATACTAATCATTGCGAAATTAGAAATACTACAACTGTTTAGTAGAATTCTTGTTGTAGAAGAAAAATGCTCAGCACTACGTCTTCTTTTGGATAATCTTGAAGGTATTATGCCTGTTCATAACATAGCTAAGAGCAGTGGCAGCGGTTGTCAGTCCGGTCAGATACCAGAGGCCATGCAGGGCTGGATGATCTGTGGAGATAGGAGCAGCAGATATACCAGGCTATCCCCTTGAGTTTTAGTTCAGTGAAGAGCTTACCCAAATAGTTCCAGATAGGAGCGCCTAGACTAAGACCAATTGTAGCCAGCTGCACGCCCGTGTTGATTTTGCTGAGCAAAGTTGGCTCCAATTGAGCCGTCACATGGGTGGCATCGAAGTAACGCGAAAAAGTTTTCTATCGAAGGAACGTACAAAGTAACACAATCATACACTTGGTTGCAAATTTCAGACGGCACACTCACTGGAGGGGGAAGACTTATGTAGCGAATGACAAAACCAGCGGCTAATAGGAACACATCACGAAACACAATAATGCCCGCAAGCCATATGGGCATAAGATCGGTATAGCAGAGCGAAATCACCAACGAACCCATCAGCAGCTTGTCGGCCATCGGATCGAGGAAGGAGCCGGCCTTGGTGGCCTGCGAGGGCCAACGCCGAGCAATCTGTCCATCCAACTATGAACAGAAATAAGAACAAATGATTTATATCGATTTTAAAACACTTTTGCGCTCGTTCCTTACCAGATCCGAGACACCAGCAATCGCCAGTAGACTCATGCCAAATGTAAAGTCGCCCTGGGCAATAACATAGCCAATGTAAGGGGAGAGTATCGCACGACTGATTGTCAGCATGTTGGGTATGGTCATGATATTCTCGCGCTCTTCGCGTATTTCAACTATCTTCTCGCGAACCCGCTCCTGCACTTTGTGACGTGCCTCTCGGATGTCGTCGACAAGGAAGTTCTTGCGCTCAATGAACTCGGCACGCTGCTTATCAATGACCCCTTGCAGTATATCCCGTCCTTGAAGGGTGCGCAGATGCAGCGAATGCTTCTTGGCATCCGCATAAAGACGGAGACGGGCCACATCCCAGTTGCGGCGCTGTTTGATGTCCAGGAAAGATATGCGAATGAAGCCGGTAGCAGCGGCATAACGATTTAGGCAGTTTACAAAACTGCTGCCACCCACACCCAGTACGTGCTCCAGCGTCGAGGCACCATGGTGCGGTCCTTGGCGAAAAACCATGGCGGGCAGCATGGTCTTTAAGCAGAGCAGTACTAGACACTCGCTAATGTATTAGTACGAACTCTGCAGAGTGGTACCTTATCGTTTACGTACTGTAAAATATATATATATATGTACATTGATTGAGTTTAAAGTTATTTTGATTAGCGCAGCATGGCCTTGTGCCATTTGGCCGAACGATGACCCTTGGATTCGTTCCATAATTCCTTACCATTTGTTAAGAATCGTTGATAAAGTGCTACAATCAAGTGTAACACGACATGGATGCTTTTTTGTTGATCTAAATTCGAAGAAATTACTGGTTTTAACTGGAATTTAGAGATTTTGTTTTTATTTTTTATTACACAAGTCGGCGCTGAGGTAGTGGTGGTCGGACAGCTATTGAATGCACTATCGATATTTGCAATGGTTAGATAGTATCTCTAAGCGATACTCTTGTGCGATACCCTCTGCTTTCAATGTTTGAAAAAAAAACTAAAGCGATGGCACACAATCACTAACCAAATAGCATATAAGATTGTCAATTCAAAGGAAGCGAAACGTCACCGCAGAATGCGCGTCGGCAAGTCCCAGGCCTCTGCCAACGTCGCAGCTACAAGTA